AGGGCTGGGGTTTTGCAGTTCTGGGCCGAGGATCTTGAGACCGCCGGCGGGAAGATGTTAGGGGTGGGCTTCGGGATCCCCTCGTGACCTAACAGGCCTTCAGCAGCCGACGAGAGAAGTCCAAGACGGCACACTGTAAACAGCGAGCGCTGTCCATGAAGGTTCGATCGCCAAGACTGATTATCCGCTGGCCTGCTACTAAGAACCCCTTTTGAGGGCTGAGTATCTGCAACATTGGTCCGGGTTGCAACCTCTTCGACGGAAGCAGTGAGCCGACAGCCTTGCCATGGTCGGGAGTACATAAGACTGCTGAGTGCTGCAGGGCGTTCATGGAGTAGGGAGGCAGGCAGGAGGCTCTGCACCTCCGTTTTGCACGAGGCTTCCCGAGGTTGCGCAGAGGCAAGTCAAGTCTCCTTCTTTGTGGTCTGTATTTAGTGCAGGGTCTCAAATTCTCAGACCGGGCAGAAAGCCAAACCATCCTAAGCCCCACGCCCCTCATTCCGCGGCTTAAGGTCTTCGTTGCTGGATGGGCAAGTAAAAAATGCGTGGGCAGACCACATGTCTAGTGGTTGATCGAAGTTTTCAACAGTATCTCCAAGCCCGAAGTCATAAGTCCGACGCTGAAGTCGTTGTGCACTTTGGATGCAGCGATCGCTTCAGCAACCTTGGCACGTATGACCACCCTCATATCTTGAACACGTACCTTCTCTGGCAGCTGCAATGTCAGGCACCAATACCAAAAAGGTTGTGGCATCTAGGATCAGATGCAAGGTTCAGCACCGGGTCCTTACGTCTTCTTGGTTGGAAGAGCGATGGTGACGACGGTTGCGACTTGTCTATGTAACCATACTTAGCCATAGCAATCCTAAGAAAAGAGCTAACCCCAGACCCTTAACCCTCGGATTCAGAGACCCCGACCAACGTTGGCGCAAGAAAGATACACATAACATCACCTGCGTCGATTTCGGCACATCGCCATGCCGAAGCCAGAACTGGACCTCGATGCGCCTGGGCTCAGCCAGGTTTTAAGGATTCGGGTTTAGGGTTTCAAAGGTCGGGTTTTCGTGGTTCGCCGTTGTTGGTGATTTGGGATTTAGGGTCCAGGGCTTCTGTGGCTGAGCATGGGGCTTTGCAGCTTCTGCAAGGGGAGATGGTTTTGTTCGCTTGAGTGTTGAGGTTTTCCGGGTAGCGAGTTTTGGGCTGAGTAGTGGCTTCTCGGCACAGTCGGATTTGCGAAGAGAGCATTGCTGCGAACCCGGAACCCATTCCAAACCCTTTGCGTTCTGCGACAAGACGCTCATGATTGACCAACAAGGCCTGGACCCCAACACCCTAGCCCTAAACCCTGCTACATCTTAAGGCACTGCTGAAGCCCCAAAACCTTGTAGCAAAACTCTTCCAACCGAACCTGCCAGACGTTGTTTTCAGCCCAGCAGCCTGAACCCTCTTGCCGCTGCCCACGCACATCCCTGAACGGTCTAAGGGCCCGGGCGTCACAGTGGCCGCCTCCAGCGGCAGCCCCGTCGCAGGTTCGGCACCCTCCGGGCCATCTTCGCCGCCGCGTGGCCAAGGCCACTAGATCAGAGTACGAACCATGGAGGAAATTGCTGCAATAAGGAGCAGGAGTGCACTAGGAGAAAAGGTGCACAGTTAGTAGTTGGCATTTCCGCAAAGAAGTGGGCAAGCTTGAACTGAACCCAAACGCGGACGAGAAATGCACCGAGTTTAACCCAATGCTCTAAGCGTTCACGACCGCTCCGTGCTACACACAGAAGAAAGCCAATAACCAGCATCTGCAAGTAGTGAAACCATCGATCCCGAACATCCGTCCGCCTCCAAACCTTGCAATCCGAACACCCTCAACAGATCCCGAAACCTTACAACATAGTCCAAAACGCTCAACCTTAGCTTGAAACCTTAAGGCCCTCAACCCGCGTGTTGCTGGGTTGTGAGTTGGTTTTCGGTGCATTACTTCCGGGTTTAGCAGCTTGCAGGTTAAATCCTTGTAGAGCCACTGCCTTTCATCGCTTGTTGCAGTCTATTCCCCGTCGGACGACCTCGGCTGTGGAGCTATGGCTGGAGCCGACAGCTTACATCCTAGGGGGGTTACGGGTCATAAGGTTGCTTGGGGGGTCGTATCTAGGGGGTTCAGACCAGTGAGTTTTGGGGCCGAGTCAGCCGAGTTTCAGTTTGGTGGAGACGAGTTGGCTGGGAATCCTCAGTTTGTGAGGCCCGCGAAGAACAGTCTCGTGATTGCCATGTGTTTGACTTTCAGACTTAGAACTCCCTAAAGCGTCTCTCCCCGAGACCCTCAGCTCTTGCAGACCCCATTCGGGGGCGTGCAACCAAATATTTCCTAGGTACAGATTGGGTAGCAAAGGAAGTCCAGACCCCAACCACACCAAGACCATGCCTCGATCCACAGGCTAGTGCACTTGACATCCTTGGAAAACCCGAAGCCCCGAACCCTGAAGCCCCTTACACCGCAAACCTTACAAGAAGTGAGTTATGGTACGTGTAGCTTGAAGCGCGCCCTAAGCCTTCAGTTTGGGTCTCCGGCATCAGGTCTGTTTCGAGCAGATCGATGAAAAGGACACCGGTGACTTCAAGTATGCCGTGGGCTTGGAGGGCTTGGCTTGGGTAGCTTTCTCGAGTTTGGGTGAGCTTTCCGTTCTTTTCTAGTGCTTGTGGGGTGGTGTCTTTCCTCCGGCTTTGCTGGGCTGGGGGCTGATTTGTTTCAGGGCTTCAGGGCTTCATTTCGGACTTCTGGTAGGGTTTTCAGCTAAGCAGACGGAGCTGAGTGCTCCCCCCGCTCTGGTGAACTCGAATCCGTTCACCGCCAGCAGATGCATCCAGGCCTTAACCAAAAAATCCAAAGGCCAGTCGGTACGAACCCCGCCTTTAGCCGGATCTGAAAATTGATTTCAATCTTACAGAGCCGCTTTTATCATTTTGCCTCTTGCAGGTCGTCCGGAGAGACACTTGTGCCCGCAGACTTGCATCGCCAAGCTGCACCCAAACGGCTCTCTACCGTCAACTCAAAACAAATCTCAACTCAAAACTATTGTAAGCCCTAAAACCCCAACAGGCCAATGTCCGAAACCTCACGCCCTAAGACCTAAAGCCCCGAACCGGGTAGAAGCCGAAGCCTGCACCCTGAAGGCCCTGTAGGAAGCTCTCCGTAAGCCACGCGTCTTTCTAATGGGAAAGCGCTGCCGAGGTCGGCTCTGGCCGCGGAGACTACGAGCAGGCAGTGCTTCTCACAACAAGGGAGCCGGTTTTGGATGCTTCAAGGTTTAAGGCGGAAGAAGGGGTTCGGGGTTGAGGATTTCAGGTGGTAGGTATTAGGGCGATCCATGAGAAGTTGCGAAGTGACGGTGTTGCAGGTCCTTGAAAATATGTGGCTGGATTTCGTAGCGTGCCAGTTACGGGCGTGAGTCTGTCAAGATCGGAGTGAACGGCTTCGCCTATAGGACTGCATTGGTCGAATGGGAGTTGGATTCTAAGGATGTGGCATCTGTGTTTTTTGGGTTGCGTTTTTGCAGTTGGGCCTTTTATCGTGTCTAGCAATGTCGCCGTGCCACATGCACCCCGGACATCCGTTGCGAAGCCTCCACATGCCTCCACGAGATTGACCTCACACCCGAGTGGATGTCAAGACAATGCCAGCAAGATTAGTGAGCGTTGACAGCAAAAAACATCCTATCACAAGGGTGATGACATTGCAGTGGAGATAGGGCTCGCGATTTCACGAGAAGGACTCCTCCACCTCCTTCTTCTATAATCGGGACGACCATCAGAGCTACTGCAGCATATTCCTGCCTCTTTTACTTACTATACCACTATGGCAGTAGTTTCATGGGTCAGCAAAGACGACATGGTCCTGAGCAGCAAATACCAAGCAGTCGTCGCCGCGAGTGGTCAACATGACAATGACGACATGATCACATGGCAGTTTACAATCATGCCTTTGCTCCCTGCCAGCTGAGATCGTACCTGTGCCCCTCCATCCCGAAACCTTCATCGCTTTTTGTCACGAGCTCAAGCCTTAAGTCTACATACATGACAGACCCGAGCGGCCATCAGTCAGTGGAAACATCAGTGATCAGGTCACAGTCCTGCCGGAGGTGGGCTGTGTTTCTTGTGTAAGTGTTGCAGTAGAAATCAGCCTCAATTTGGTAAAACGCGACTGGGCGGAATCTAAAGAAATTGAAGGGATGTGAACGGGTTTCATGCGCTGTCAAAATATCGATGCCAGCAGGAAATCTAAACGTTCACCTCAGATTCCAGTATTTCGTGTGTAATTCGGGCATCCCATGCCGTTGCAGAAGCATGAGTCCACCAAGCACCACTCTATCTCTGAATCCAAGATTTGCTCGAGACAGTAAATCGCACCAGTGGCGCTAAGCCGGAAACCCTAAACTCTGGCGGAGAGTGCCCTGAAGAGGCCCGGCCAGTCACCTACGAGGTGGAGTCCGTGAGGCGACTTCTCCAAAACTGGGTTCACTGGTGGTGTCACGACCTTTCGTTCCGGGCTTGGGTGTTTAGCGGTTGGAGCTTAGGAACATACAAGCAACGACCATCTACTAGGTTCTCAGTTGGGGTGATGTGGCACAGGAGTCACTCAGCATGGTTTAATTTTGTAGGATGTATCTAAGCGACTGTAGATGATCGTCGCCGCCATCTTTACCGTGCATGTTTGAGGGGCAGATTTGGGGATCTGAGATTGCAGGACTTGGGGCGCAGAACCCTCCGGCAACCTATGGTTGCCAGAGGGTGTGTTGTAGGTTTCGGTTTTGCAGGCTTCTTCCGGTAAAAATGATTGGTTAAGCGTCAGTTGTTGTGCATTTGGCTTTGAGGCT